AACAATTTCTTTATAGTCAAATCTGAAGATGAAAATCAAAAGAATATTATGGATCTTTTAACCAAATCTCAGGAGAATAGGAAAGCTTCTGAAAACGTTGCCAAGCATTTTCTGCAGAAATTGGATCGAAGTTACGGTATCTCGTCTAGAATGGGTGCTTGTCATCTTAGCCCATGGGAAGATCTTTCTTCTCATAGTCACACGACAAGGTTATTTAAATTTTATATCTCAAACCACTCTCAATTGTTTTTCATTTTGAAACTCAAATTATGAGACTACTAAAACGCAGTTAGGCTTTCTTTTTTTTTAATTGTTACATGATTTAATTTAAATAAAATAGATCTTTTTTTTATAATTTTCTAATCCTATGATTTATTTTGACCTTAAAAAAGAAAAGATGCATTCACAGGTAATTAATTACATGTGTGCTTATCATTTATTTTCAAATTCAGATACCATAGTTTCATTTTAAAAACCAATAAATTTGATTGTTTGCTGCAAAACCAGATAGTTCTAAACTTAATCTTCCACTGAAAGTAAGACTAATGCAGAGCCAAAATTTTAAATCTTTGTCTATCCAATAGTAATATGTGGAAAACTAATTTTTGAAGTGATCTATCTGATTTTGAAATTATATGTTTCATTATAGCAGCAAGCAACCTGAACAAATTGTTATTTTTAGATTGTTAACTATTTTAATGGAAATATTGATGAATATTTTTGTTGTAGTACCTCTAGTTCCGTGTCCAGTAGCTGTGATAGTGGTGTAGAGTTCACTAAAGTGGATGAGCGTAGACTCAGGGACTATATCATTCAGTTGAAGAATGACAGGTCTGCTGTGCGGACCACTGTAGTTGAGCTGGAGAGTATCCACATTGATCCCATTAACAAAGATCCACCAACAATAATAGATGCTCAAAAGCTGGATTTGGAAAACGCCGTCCTCATGCAGGAATTGATGGCCATGAAAGTTAGTGTTATTTGATTGACTATCGAAAATAAATATTTTGTACCCAATCTCTTTGTTGAATAAGTCTACTTAGGTAGCATATAATATCTCAGTTTGCAGGTGCTAAAT